TCCAATGGTGCCGGATCATCATTCTCCTCCGACCTTGCCACCCGCACTGCTGGTCTGACTATCGACACCGATGCCCCCCCTAGCCGAGCCTCGAGTGATGAGATGTCAGCTACTACAAGTGTGAGCGGTTCCGAGATAAGCTCATCCGAGGCTGGTGGTGATCGCTACGATCGCCGCAACGCCCCGGTCTGGGACGGCGAGCTGAGCAGCGTGATTGGCCTGCAGAAACGTGGACTTCGGGGCCTTATGGAGGGCCGTAGGATGCGTGAGCGCACAGGCACAGGCACCATGGGAATGAGTGCGTCTGCCATGCCTGGAGGATACGGCACGAACCCACGAGTGGGCCTCGGTATCGCTGGGCCATGAATAACGAACGAAGATGGGCGCACACTATTCTAATCTGGACGACATATTTTTTTACTTGTTCCCAAGGCGATATGGGTGTAATGAGGTACCTGCGATTCTTGATATCTTTCAGGTCTTGACACACGAAGGAGATACGACTGAACGTCTCCATTTCTCTCTCCTGCATAATTTTTTGCATGATCTTGGGCTCTCGATTTTTCAAAGCATATCACGAGGAACTTCTCCCTTTCTAGAATAAAGTATTTTTTTGCGGAATGATGTAAATTTTGGATGTGATGGAGACTTGGGTATGGGGATTGGATCATGGAGGAACTGAATGATTACCCAGGGGCATTATTTGGCTAGGTAGCCTTGCATGGAAACGACAGCATGACCGTCATCTATCATCAATATCATATCATATGGTGACCATAGGATGAAGAAAGGGGAGAGAAGGGAAGAGATATGAAGGGAAGGGGCAGGAAGGGAATTTAACCAAGAACGTCGGCAAAGAGGAAGCCAAGAATTTGTCTGTTAATCTTTTTGGGCCAAATGCTAATTAGATGGATGCTTGGCATTCTCTCCCTCCTTTGCTAAACCGGCCGCTTTCCTTGCTTGGGGATGTATAGATTGTTCATAGGGGCTTACGAATGACATGAAGTCCAGCCAACTGCGGCTCGGACTAGCTACATACATAGCTTCTTAAAAAGGGGGTGGTTTCAACTACCAACCCAACTACTCAGCTAAGAATATAACCCTCACCGGTAGACACAACGACAATAGACACGCTTTTACGCCAGGAAGAACCGAATGACTCAACGGAAAATACAATAACAGGGGACTGAAGAAGACCATGACCGTGATTGACGAGCAATAGAATCATAGCTTCACCCGCCCGCCCTCCAGCTCCCGCCACTCCTTCTCCCCAAACGGCACGTACGCGTCCTCGCCCAGCCAGTACACCCTCCCCTCGCCACCGGGACGCACGCCCGCCTTCCTCAGGTCCATCTTCTGCTGCTTCATCGTCCCCGTGGCGTGGCCCCCCGGCTCGCCGTCGACGACGCGCAGGAACAGGGGAACGGCGTACCGCGGGAGGGACTTGCGCGCAAAGGCCGCCAGGCTGGCCATGGTGGCGGCCTCGTTGTCACTGGAAGAGGAAGGGTCGATGCTGAGGGCGGCGCAGCCGGCGCGGCCGTCGTGGTGGGGGAGCTGGACGCCGTAGACGTTTGCCTCGCGGACGGACGGGTGGAGGCCGAGGACCTGGGCGACCTCGGCCGTGGAGACATTTTCCGATTTCCAGCGGTAGGTGTCGCCGATGCGGTCGTGGAAGAAGACGAGGCCGTCGGCCTGCCAGCGGAGGACGTCGCCGGTGCGGTACCAGGCGTCGCCCTTTGCGAACAGGTCGCGGAGGATCTTGGAGGAGTTGGCTGCGGGGTTCTTGTAGTAGCCCTGGAAGCGGGTGCTGATGTCGGCGGGGAGGCGGAAGATGGCCTCGCCCGGTTCGCCGGGTTTCACTCTGGTCGCGAAGCCGGTGGCAGGGTCGCGGCGGGGGGAGTTGGTGTCCCAGTCGACGGCGACGAGGGCGACGTTGCGGGAGATGAGGGCGTTGTAGAGGGTGCCGAAGCGGCCGATGGCGTTCTCGGCGTAGGGGTTGGAGCTGCGGTTGAAGGTGCCGAAGGGCCCCTCGGTGGCGGCGTAGAGCTCGGCGATGGTGTCGATGGCGAAGCGGTCCTTGAAGCGGGCCCAGACGTCCGGGCGGAGGCCGTTGCCAAAGGCCATGCGGACGGAATGGCGGCGGTCTAGGTTCTCGCCTGTGGATGGGTCGAGCTGGGAGGGAGCGGCGAGGAGGTAGCGGAGGGTCTCGCCGACGTACTGGATGATGGTTGCGTTGCAGGAGCGGACTTCGTCCCAGAAGGTGCGCGTGGAGAACTTGCGGCCGATGGCTTGGGTGGTGCCGGTTTCGAGGCATGTGAGGAACGAGATGACGGCTGCGGAGGAGTGGTATAGGGGCATGCACTGGCGGGGGTTAGATGTAGTTCTTGGAGTAGAGGGCGGCGGGAGAAAAGGGGGGAAGGGACTTACGGTGTATACGATGTCGTCGTTCCTCAAGCCTATGAGGGCTTGGCCCATGCCTCCGCCGGCGATACACTTGCCCCAGCTGACAATGGCGGGCTTGGGTAGACCGGTGGTGCCGGACGTGAAGACGAGCATGGCCATCTCGGTGTACGACTTCTGTGAGCGGTCCTCATCTGGAACTCTGAGAGGCTCAGCGGCAGACGCCTCGATCTCGACCTCGGGAGTGAAGACGAGACAGGTGACGCCCTCGAGCTCCTGGCGGACCTCGTCGTCAAAGTTGGAGGCGACATTGACGTCGATGATGCACAACTTTGCGTCGGAGGCCTTGATGCAGTGGATCAGGGGCTTGCTCTGCAGGTTGTAGTTGATGCAGGCGGGCTTGGCCCCCAGGGCCCAGATGGCGAACCAGACGAAGACGTACTGGTCCGAGTTCTGGAGGTCCATGGCGACGATGTGGCCGGGGCGGACGCCGTGGGCCAGGCGCAGCCAGGTACTGTACCGCAGGACCTTGTCGTAGACCTGGGCGAAGGTCCAGGAGCGGCCTTCGAAGAGGACGAAGGGCTTGTCGGCGTGGGACCCGGACTTGGCCCAGCGCTCCAGGACGTAGAAGGTGTTGAGGCGGTCGGCATGCTGGCGGTAGAGGAAGCGGGCGGAGGAGGTGACGGAGCCGCCGATGAGGTTGAGATCCCACCAGACGGACGCTTTGGCGTTGACGTAGGCGGCTGCTGCGAGGGCTGCGGCTGGGGCGGCCACGGAGGCGAGGGAGACTGCATCAAGATGAACGAGGGGCGTGTTGGTGTTGAGGACTTATAGATGGAGGTGGATGTTTGGCTTGTAAGGGGTTGGGCCACGAACCTGGCATTATTGATGGCGAGCAGAGCAATTGCAGCTGCCGCCGTTGTATCAGGTAGAGGAAACTAAATGCGTAGGATGTATAAATACTGTTGTTTATATATAGCACGAACCATTCAATCGCAAACGGTACAACAAGAGTACAGGGTTGGGCAGCCGGAGCTCGGGGAATAGTATCGTTGCTCAATGAGGTGTGTCCAGAGACAGATAGTATTTACGCGGTTATGGCATGGGACGGTGGTTGCACGAGACAGTTTCAGATCAGACATAGACAGAGGAACGACGAGACAAGCAGCAGAGGGCAGCGGTAGCATTAGAAGGGAGAGGAGAGAGGGGGAGGGAGAGAGCAGATTAGGGACCGAGGCCAAGCAAACAAGCAGGCCCTAAATGTCTTGTCGGACAAGGCGGTGTTCAGTCTCTATGTGAACAGGGGCGTGGACGTTGTGACACAATCCCGAGGCACCGCAGCTTCAATGTGGTGGACGGGATGAGCGGATTCACCGTTCGCTTTGTCTGTAGAGGAGCTGAATTGCCCAGCCGAGGCTCGCGGAGTTGAGACGCACCGCTTTGGGAAATGCATTCGAAGAGCGAGACAGAGAGTGCGGGGAAGGGCCACTCCCAGTCCCAGGGGGGATCTACATACGTATTTCTGCTTGGCCGGGGGGGAGTTGGAGATGGAAAGTAATGAGGCGTAGAATGAGCCGTGGCTTGTTTCTGTCATCCAAAAGGACGATAGCAGTTCTCTATCGTTTCATGTATGATGAAATTCCCATTGTGAGCACATGGGCTTTAGCCTGTGATACTCCCGCATGAAGCAACGCCTCACATGACTGGCGGCGAACAGAGCCACGCGGGCATTGGCTGGTGCGTTGTAACTCGTAGATTTTAAAGAATCCAAGATTTGATTCTATTGATTGTCCGATAGATGTCTTACTGTCGGGGGAGCAGGAATAGGAATTGGTTTCGTTCAAGTCACGCCGCCGGCTGTGTATTCATCAATTTTATGCATCTGTATTGCGCTGCACAAGTCTCTGACATGGTCAGCGAACCTACTCCATCCTCATGGTGAAAGTGACTATCCCGCTAATAGCCTCCTTGCTAGCCCACACTCTCTTCTTAAGCATGAAAAGAAAGAAAGGTGAGATATAAACATCCTGTGATTACCTTTGCTCTCTTCCCGTCGAGGACGGCACCTGCAATGCAGCTGATAGCTCTGAACTCAACACTCCAATGACAACAATTCTACCCGACTGCGTCCGCGGAGCCATCTTGGCTATCGCGGGCTCACTTTCTCGAGTTTCAGCAACTGTCACATTTTCAAACTTAGAAGGCCGATAGCCTGGAGGGAGCCATATGATATCGCGTCCCATGAAAATGATGCGCGAGAGATCGTCGTCCACGGTCAATAAAGGGTTTGGGAATTCTTGGATTTGAGCTAGGCGTTTTGCTTGGGATGACTCCGAGACTGTGCCCGTCTCCGCATTCCAAAGCTGGACTTACCCCTTATAGTATTCAACTCCTAGTAGCTTTGCGTCAAATAAAAAGGAAATAGACCGAGCTATATTGCCCTACAGTTCTATTCTGTGCAGCATTGAGCCCTTCCTTGGATCCCAGACCCCAACTGTTCCATCTTTAGACTTAGAGACAAGAAACTTTGAATTAAATGAAAAGGAAGCGGAGTGTAACGGTCTTTCATGACCATGCAAATTGTGTAGCCTTGAGCCGTTCTATAGGTCCCAGATCGGGATTGTTCCATCTGCGGACACAGAGACAAGTAGTTTTAAAATATATGAGAACGCAACTGGCCCACCACAGTCATCGAATCTACGCAGTTCCTCCCCTATCTTTGGGTCCCAAATCCTAATTCTCCAATAGTTAGATGCAGAGGCGAGCATTTTCGAATCGCATGAGAAGATAACAGATGTAATCAAGTCCTCGTGGCCAGATAATACGCAAAGCTCTGATCCTGTGTTTGAATCCCAAAGACGGACTGTGCCATCAGAAATCCCCCAAGCTAAAATCTTAGCATCATGTGACAATGCAACAGGTGATACCTGCCACTGGTACCTCGTTGACTTCTCTGGTTCTGAGGCTGACTCTAGATCCCATAGTCGAATCGTAGAATCAAAACACGCAGAAGCCAACGCTTTCGAGTTCTTACAGAATGCAACAGATTTGATATACTTCTCATGGCCTTCTAGCTTCTGTAGCTCTAATCTTGTCTCGGTGTCCCAGAGGCGGACCGTGAGATCACCCGACCCAGAAGCTAAAACATGTGAATTATCTGAGATGGCAATCGTGTAAACGTCACTGCTGTGGCCCTCTAGCGTCTTCAGTTGCAATCTTGTTTCTGAATCCCAGAGCCGGATCGTACCATCGTGAGATGCAAAAGCCAACATTTTGGAGAAGGCGACAGATCTGTACAAATCCCTGTGGCCCTTCAACACGTGTAGCGTAGATAACTTTATCTAGATCTCAGATCCGGACTGAACAGCCAATAGATCCGGAAGATAAAAAACCCATATCACAATTTGAGAAGCTGACCAAGAATATCTGGTCTTCATGGCCCTCTAACCTCAGTATCTCTGATCCTGTCTCCACGTCCCAAAGCCGGACGATCTCACCATGCCCCCTAGACTCTAGGAGACTTGGAAGAATCTCCGTCAGAAGATGACAGAGCTAAGCCAGCGCTCATGGTATTTCAGCTTCTTCAACTCTATGCCTGTCTCCAGAACCCAAAGCCAGACCGTGCCATCATTAGACCCAGAGGCCAGTAGATTTGCATTATCGTACAAGAAGGCGATAAAGCGAATCAGGCTCTTGTGACCAGTCAGTGTGTGTGGTTCTGCGCCTGTCTCTGGGTCCCAAATCCGAACTGTGGAATCTTCAGATCCAGAAGCCCGAAGTCTTGAATCGGGGGAGAACGCAGTAACGAGAACCGCATTTCCGTGGCCCTCTAAAATCTGAAGAGATCGGCTCCATTTTTCCAAACTCTGGGTTTGATTCCTATGTAGTCTCGGCTCTTGATTCTAGAGGATTTTACGCATGTGCTCTCGCCTGGACTAAATAAGAGAGCAGAAACGCAAGTCTGCAGGGGAGCTTTCTCAATCAACCTTTTATTGTGTAGAAGAAAACGTCGACACTCATAAGCAAGCGTACTGAGTTGCTGCCAAGATGATTCTTTGTGTTTCTGCCAGTGGTTAATTCGACGACTTAACTATATAATTCGCACTCATTAAATGCTTAGTTCTAGAAACTGCTCAAGCCTTCTTATTGAGCGAACTCCGTCGTTATCGCGATATAATAAGCTCAAGGTCTCAAACTAATTGAGTAGAAATTCCCGGAGATATTGGACAACAGTATCGCTGCTGGTAGGAGTGTTTTGTGCGGCCGTATACATATCATCTTTATAATGCCCTGCTTTTTTCAAAGGTTGGGATCCGGTGGACTGGTCTTGTCGATTGTGATTCGGGAAAGAATAGATCGTATATGTCCCACTTCAGAACATCTCTCATAAATTCCATTGAGCTTCGGAATAGCTCATATTGTGTTTCTTGTGGTTCACAAGATGGACTGTTTCTGACAGATGTCCCTGTCAGATGAAGTCTTTGGCTGATTGGTGGATGAGATAACATGGTCTTTTTGACTGTCAGAAACGAACGGCATTAGAGGACTGTTTGTTGTACATCATCGGCTATTGAATTGTACTCTTCAAGCCCAGAAAGAGCATGAAGCTCATGCAAATGGAGGCGGTCTGAATGCAAAGACTGTAGCGGATAGAATGCGCCGACACTTTTCAGCGCTTGTCCTTTTGTGCTCGATAGATATTTGTCGCAGCATTCGCTCATATATTTGATCTAGTCCGGCTGGGCAGTCTTCGAGAACAGCTAAAATGTCAGAATTCTCCTTGACTTCAAGTAGCTCTCGGACGACGAGACCTACCAATAGGAAAGTGTCATCTGCCTTCATGTGCAAAGCGCTCTCCATCTGTCCTCGTAAAATTCGGTCGGTCTATAGCAAGATCATACTCGAGGTTTTCCAATTAATGCAAATTCGAATATCTTGCGAAACAAGATTGGTTTCCCCTCAAGGTCCAGGCAAATTGTGCCACTAGCTGCTGCAAGGAAGGCTCGATTCTTGTTTTGTTTCTGCTTGATCAATCCACTTGAGACAGACAGATTACTGTACCCTTGTATCAGAAAAAAGTTGGCAAAATCCATTCAATCCTAACTCGCACTCGCCAAGTGCATCAACGGCTAAGAACAAGTTTTTAGGCTCTGGATGACATAGGCTTAAATCCTGGATCGTTTGCCGAATTATTATAGATAAGATGTATAATATAAGGTGTTTTGATCCCTTAAAAATACTGCTGCCGCTTCGATCACACTCAGTCTTTAATGGTAAAACTAGAGCACTCTCCTTGAGGAGGAACACATAGATTGATCCCATCATAATAGCAACGAAATTGTTTACACGACGATCTGAGCTTTGGAAGAGGAAGAATGATGTCGTAGCGTGAGATGGGTGATGGCAACCAAGCTCCTTTGATATCTCATCTCAACCAAGAGCACCGTTTAGCCCTTTCCGGCAGTGCCTTGGACCCAAAGCAGCCCGCTTCGATTGCCATCTCTCCACCTATTGAAATCTCCATGTTCCAAATCTAAAGAAATGCGTCTTGGTTGAGGCCGCCCTTTGTCATCTTTTTTCGGTCTCGTTTGTTACAGGGGCTACTCCGTCCCACTTCTCTGAGGCAGGAATTAACTTCTGCGGTTTGTGCTGAATCTGCTGATATTAATATTGTACATGCCAATCGTTCCTGGTTTCATAAACAAACTCACGAGCAAAACTTGGCCTTCACGCTCTTGTGGCATCCATCTTGCAGGTGGAGAGAGCTGGCACACTTGACAAAAGACATGTCGGACTCTGTCAAAATCATCGTCGTGAGTGGAGAATTTTACAAGGCTTGAATGATTTTTGTTAAGACCGATAGAATACTTCGTTGAAGTAGACGCAGGCAGACAGCTCGTTGCCGAAGCACGGCTCACGAGGCATTCTCGGGGCTCTGTCATTTTATATTCCGCATTGGTCTGTTTCAAGTTTATTATTTGTTAGCCAAAGTCCTAGCCCTCAGCAGGTAAAATACCGACATTTTCAACAGTTGTTGGCAATGTCAACTCATAGAAGCATCTGATATCGATTTGATACTTGTCAAGAATCTTCGAAAAGCTTCTCCTCTGATAAGCCAGGATGTGGGAGTTTGTGTCGCGTAACGAAAGAACGAGCGATAAGTTAGGCTGGTTGGTTACAATAGGAATGAGTGATTCTATCCTCATCCCGTCGTTTGGAACTCCAAAAAAAATCAAACCTTGGATACAATGCATAAGTCTCTCTTCAGGAGAGTCGGCAATTTGAATTAGCGCCTCCTTTATCAAAAGCCCGCCAAGACCATAGCCAGTAAAAACAACACGCTTTGGCTTGATAGTTTGTATTATCCGACTCAATTCCCCTTGAAGTATACCTGCGAGATCTCCGAGCTCAGCAAAGCTGGTATTGTCGTTCAGCTGGCTCCGATAACCAAAGATGATGACTCGAGCATGAGGTACGTCGCTTGGCAGCTGGTCACGTAACCACATATTTCCATCCTCTTTATTCATAAATGAACTGAATGCATGGGACCCTAGATCAGAGACTGCAACTATATCAAGTTTATGATCTTCTCCGGATGGGGAAAAGAGTACGGTAAGTCCGTAGAAGTGGTCATCGATCGTGATCTTGACCATCTGAGGCGAATGTCTTCTCTGTTTGAGGTCATCACTCATTTTCTTGGGGTAGATCGGCAATTCTAACAACACTTGTCTTTCGGTTCCAAGATTGCAAAGTTGCGGCGGAAGCGTTCCAAAAGAGGCGGTTGCTACCTGGAAGCGGTTGAGGTCGGGCGCCAGGGAATGGATTTTTATACCGAAATCCCCCTTGCCCCGTATACCCTCGCTAGAGTTATTCGTATTTTGCAATTGTAGATGCTGCTGTAGCTCTTCAGCCAGTCTTTGCTTGTCGAGATCTCTGGGCACACCACGAATTCTCCACGTTTGGCGGCAGTTCTCTTTGGCGGCAGACAACATTGTGGCAGATGACACCGGAGGATCTCACTGCTATATAGAGAGAAAGAGAGAGCGTTCGACATTACCCAGGAACTGGAGGTTCTTCTAGGAGATAATTCAACCATAATGCGCTAATTTCATGCTCCAAACACAATTATCTCGTCAAAATGTGCAAGGATGCTGGTGTAACAGACTTGGGCGGGGAACATCAACACGTGACACTGCCTTGCACCTACATTAGAATCTAAATGATTGGTAAACCGGAATATTTACTCGGCCTGTTGCTTTGGAAAGTTGTGAGAAGCAGTATCAGGTTGGCAGAATCCAGATTCTTTGAAACCAGTCATGAAATGGCTGTTTGGGTGACGTTCATTATCGCAGCGCATGCAATAGATTCCAGTTGATGCATAGTATCCCCCCCCAAAAAAAAGGAAAAAAAAAAGGAAAAAAAGCGCCCATCCTGTTGTATTAGCGAGTGGATAATAAGTACGGAGAAGAAGTTTATGCTGGTAGGGACAATCGGATATCCATCATAGTAGATATAGTTTCACCGGCTCGAAGGACTACTTCAGCCTACCGATTAAGGGCAACTTGACATTGCTATTATCTAGGTATGTCTTGCACTTCAAATGTTCCAGTAATCCACAATTTACCCATATTTTGTTGAACTATGAAACGAAAACCATACAGACGTTCCACAATCATTGGCCTCTTACCAAATCTAGGTGTGTCTCACCCTTTCGACATGCTCGTCCTTGAGCAAAGGTCTAATACATGTTGATTATCTACACCCACATAGTGAGATGAGCGTAGGCGAAGTCACTTCGATCACGTTGCCAAGCGCCAACAGGTAGCTCCAGTACAGCCGTAGAGCTTGCACCCTGCCTCATTCGTAGTCCAGACGCACAAACCCCAGGTAACCAACATACATCGCAGTCGGCCCGTGTGTAATAGTACGCGGATTCGGCGTTTCGTTTCGAAGATTTTGCCCCAGACAACGAGTGGTTTGCTTGTTTCGTGGTCCCATCAAACCTGTTTTACCATGGATCATAGACGATGTGAGTTCCCCAAAAAAAAGAGGTTGGACACTTGGCTAAAGAATGTAAGTGGTACCGTATAAAGACCTCCTGGTTTCAACATTGCAAGCTTTCGATCTAATCTGCGTCGGAGTCATTGATAAGCCAGCTCCTGGCGACAGTGTCATATTTGAGAATAACCTCGCCAGTCATCTGTTTAACTTGAACGACGACCTGCCGCCACAAATTCATCTCATACGTCTCAGAGCCAGTTTTCGCCATAACGAGAGCGCACAGGTAGCTCTTAGAATCGCCTCCATTCTGACCCGGCTTGGCTTGGACGGAATTACCTTCGTAATCCTGTGCGTGTGGTCCTGCGGCAGACGCGGGACAGAGAATGAGGGCGAAGGCTTTGTTGTCTGGCAGAGCATCAGCAAGTTCTGAGGGCGGTGCCCACGAGACCACCATCCCAGGACGAATCCGTTGTTTGAAATGGACAGAAGATGCCCCAGTGCTGGTATCTCGACTAGAACGCTGTTCGAGCGCATCTGACGCGGTAGTTGGACGGCTTCCGGCATTTGGAACAACCGCGGCTTTTAATTTTGATTTTGAGGGCAGCTGCCGGTTTCGCTGAGAGTCGATGTGCATTTCCCAAATCTTGTTGTAGAATAGCATGGCCTGCTGGGCGGTCACGCCGGGAGTCTGTACACATCGATCTTGGAATTCTGACGGGTCGAGGCGCAGAAGCTGAATTCCCGTTTCCGAAGGCGCGAGTAGTGACGCATCGACTGGAGGTGAACCAGACTATATCAATTGTTTAGCTTCAAAACGTAGAGGCAGAGGATGAATCCCAACAATGTCTGACGGCAATAGATAAAGGATCAACTCACATTGCTTCGTATCCATGATCTCAGCTGCTTATTATCCCACGTTCTGGGAACTCTAGCATCATACTTGATCTCAACGACCTTGGGCACAATCACTCTCAGTGTCTCCGCGTACCGGAGTGTGTTCCTGCTTGGCACCGAGTCTAAAATACACGGATTCACACAAGCGATGACGACAGTCTTGCAATTCCGGAGAGCCGCCGGGTCAAAGACGTGCTTCAAGATCTTGGTCAGGGGCGTTTGGCGAAACGGAACGTGAGGCTTCCGTTTGGACGATGCATCGGCGGCAGCCGTGTCCGCCTCGGCTTTGCCTCTAATGCAGTCTTTCAGAACCGAGAGACTGGCGTTGATTTCACGAGTCTCGCGCATCCGCTGTGCGTCGTGATTCGTAGTATCTCTGGCCGCCTCGGATCCGGCGAGATCAACGAGGTAGAGCATCCCGTCTGTGTCATCATCTGGGGCGTCGGGTTGTTGCTGAATGCGAATTCTGCATATGGCGTGCGACCGCGACGAGGCATCGTTCTTTTCCGTAGCCTCTGTGCGACGCAGCGCCGTGGCTGTTTCAATAAAAGATAGCATCTCGCTGGTAGTTGAGACGCGGTGCTCGAGGGCGCCGCTGAGCTGGATGACGCCAAAGGCATCTTCACGAATAGAGACAGGTCCACGCTTGTTGAGCAGGTCTGCAGAAATCACTGGTTAGAATTTGCGAGATGCCAAAACCGTCCAGTTTTCTCTTTCAAAACTTGCCGTATGCCGCGTTGCCCGCGAGCTCAATCATAGCCATAGTAATCGTTCGTTCCTCGTTTTGCTCGCCTCCCATCAATTCATCCGCAACCAGCTTCTCAAG